AAACATCTCAAGGATGAAAAATATGTCTAATAAGCATGTTAAACATGCCAGAAATAATGTATTCGAAATCAAGAAAATATGGAAACTGTGTGACTCTTACAGTGCGATTCTGGGCGTGGGGAAGCTTGTTAACGGTTGCAACACGATCCAGGGATGTCCAACAAACGATTGGGATGACTAGAATGCCTTGAAGTGATCTGTAACTTGGAAATCAGTTTGCCACTTTTCTTGAATTTTTTTAAACTTGTTTTCTCTCTTGCACGTCTCCAACCTCTTGTTTTTGGTCTGCACTTGTTCTTTATGTATAGTAGAACGCATTAGAGTTACAATTCTGTATCAAATCTCCCTCAATTATGATTATTGATCCATGATTTGATCCTTGTGCAAAAACTTTCCAAATCAAGAAAATCCAATCTTTTTGTGTCCATGTGAACCTTGCACGATTTGATTTTGTTTTTAGCTGTGTAATGGACCTAAACATGCACAAAATCTCAAGATTTAATTAGTTTTTGATATTTTCATTATTTTATTTTGATTTTATTTGATTTAATTGAAATAAAATCAAAATAAATGACAAAAATAAAAGAATGACAATTGGAAGGGATCATGGGTCGTGGGTCACATTACAAACTTAGTGCAAGCATAAAAAGTTGGGCCCATTTGACAAAAATTGCAATTTGGGACACATTTGACTTTTGGCAATTTTGCAAAAAGGGTCAACTTGGCCAATGCATAACTCCTTCAATTTTGACCCTAGAGATGTGTTCTTGGACTTTTTAGAAAGCTTGAGATGTCCTCTAAGTAACTTTTTTGGTCTCATCTCAATTGAGTCTTCCATGTTCATGTATGAAGCTTTGATCCAAAAGGTGTTTTTGTTGACTTTTCAAAATGACCTATAATGTCCAAATTCATATCTTCTTGTGAGTGCATATTTTGAACTTGGGAGCTGAAAATGAATTATAGAGAATTACATCCTCTTCAACATGAGCTTTGGATGGTTCATTTTTGATAAAGTATGACAAAGTTATACTTGATCAAAGTTGAGTTGACTTTTCCTACAAAACCCTAATTTAGCAACTTTTGGGTTTTGATGAATTGTGAGCAATCCTTGAGGAATCATGATCAACCCTTGATCAAATGATGAATAATACTTCAAAATGAGAATGTTGACCAAAAATCCTGAAGTTTGACTGTATGTGGGTCACAATTGACTTTTGTCCTAGCACAGTCGATTTTCAGGCCTTTGAGCAATTGACTGAGCAAACTGCATCTGCAAGGCTTGAAACTTGACATGGATGATCTTGAGAACATATTAGGACAATGGTGAGCATTTGGGATCCTTTGGACTCAAACATCTTGATGTAAAATAAAACCCTAATTTGGGATATACTGTCTTAGGAGAGAATTTGTCTGGTCAACTCTTTGACTTCCTTGAGCAATTTGAGGACCTCACTTGAAATGTATTGAAAAATATGGGAGGACAAATTTTAGAGTACAACACATGAATTTTAAAGTAATATTAAATTTTAAATGTCATAAAGAGGTGAGTGTTTCACATATCCAACATGTGCATGACACAATCTTAATAGGAAAGGGAAATTGAAAGAATATTTGAGCAATAAAGAAAAAAACTATTACTATTTGAATTAGTGTGTCTGGTCTCAAAGTAAATTTTCATAAAATCTCACTAATAGCTGTAAACATCCACCAACCTTGGTTGGAGGAGGCAGCGGGGATGTTAAATTGCAGAATGGAAGCAGCACTATTATTCAAATATTTAGGGTTTCTAGTCCGAGGTAATCATTGAAGGGAGGGTGAATGAAAAGCGATGATCAACACAATAAGGAACGGATTTTCTTCGTGGAACAACAATCATCTTTCAATAGGTGAGCATATCATTCTCATGAAATTCGTCTTGTACGCACTACCAGTTTATTATCTTTTATATGGTTATTGGATATTATTAGATTAAGAAGGGTAGTCTGTTTTCTTTCTGTGCTGTAATGGTATGCCTGATACTTTTTTACTTCTGACGTGGTTTACTAGTCTAATTGTTTGCCTGTGCATGACAAGTCTTGTTGTGGACTGTTATAAATTTTATCTCAATTTATTTTGCATTTGGTTCTTACAAAGGTTAAGGAAGTTAAAAATAATATATATATATATATATATATATATATATATATATATATATATATATATATATATATATATATATATATATATATATATATATATATATATATATATATATATATATATATCAAGAACACATATGAAATTATTAATTTCCACACGTAAGATGGAAAGATCTATAACAAGATACAAAGGAACAAAGGAAAAAAGTCAGAAAAAAACCCATAACAAAATGGGTAGCTAGGTAGCTTTATTCAAAACACACAATAGTAGAAAAAGGTGATGGATCCATCATCTTTGTTTCATCAACAATGTTTAGTGCAAAAACATCTATGACGGAATCCACGGCAGTGTCCACCGGGGAAACGTTCTGTTTGGCACACAGAAGCACAGTTGGTGTCACTCAAACATGTTCCTTTGAATTTGTGACTTTTAGATTCACAATCTCTTGCCTCTGCCACCATATTTGGCCCTATAATATCATGCCACAAAACCAATTAACAACACTTGTATAAAATATAAATAATTAATTAATTAGAAATATACAAAAAAAAAAAATCATTTTATAGTTAAGATAAATACATATTATGGATTATGTTATGTGATGTATGTGTAAAGAAGAATTTACCAGTGGCCACAAGAATGAGAAGGAAGACAAAGATGGTGGAAACAAGAGAAATTGAACGAGCCATGAATAATTCTAAGAGAAAAAATAGAGCTAGTTTAGAATTTGAAGTGAAGTGCAAATGGAACTAGCATGTCTTAAATAGGACAATAAAGGTTAGTAATGTCTTTCCAAGGAATATTTTAACATGAAATGATAATGTATTGGACCGTTAAAATTCTGATGTCAAATAATTATATTGTTTTTCATATTTGTTTCACTTGCTTGGTTTCTTTTGTTGCCGAGGAAACTCGGGTAGATACTATTTTCTCTGTTTTAAAATGATCGTCGTTTTAATAAATAAATTTTATTTTAAAATAATTATTATTTTCACTTTTTAATATAATAATAATTATTGTTTTTTCGATTTTACTTTTTACTCTCTATACTACTTTTAATATATTAATAAGATTAATTTTGTAATAGTGTAATATCTTATAACAATATTATTAAATTTCTTAATTTATATATAAAAATCTTAAATGACATATATTTTAAAACGAATGAAGAATATAAATAAAAATAATAATTGATTTTTTACCTAACATTATTAACAACTACCAGTACTATGAATAGTTTGGAATTTAAATGAGTGATGTTAAAAAAATCATACATACACCTACATGGACATTGGAAACTCCCAGTAATGGTGATTTGCCCCCACAAGTGTATTTTGAGAGAAAATTCACGTGAAGATTGATATATTTGATTTTGAATAGGAGTACATATCTTAATGGATACTGACAACAATGAATGATACAGAAAAGGTGACAATTCAATTGAATAGAAGACAAGTGGTGGCAGACACTTTATTGCTTTTGAGGTAATCTTTTTACTTTTGTGTTGTGTTATTTTCTTTCTCACTGGCTCCTCACGTTGTTTTCGACAGTTTTTGACCCACCCACCATTATGTTTTTAGAGCGTTTTCTTTTTTCTTCTTTGTCCACACATGTATAATTGTTAAGGTGGGGTCCTTCTATATGTGCAGGATTCACACGCATCTGTTTCCTATCAAATGAGTCATATCACTCGAATGTAAAACTATACAAGCAGGATTCATAGGGTATACCATCAAATTAGGTGGTATCCAATAAGTCATATTATTCAAATATGAGTCATATAAATTGATTGCTATAGTTAGGTTGACTCAGGTTTCGCTCTTGAAACTTAAATCTGAGGCATACTGCAATGTTATTTTTAAGGTATAATTTCGACAATAAAAATTTTAATTTTCCGAGAATTTAATTAAATCGATTTAATATTTTATTGAATAAACATATAAAAATAGATAAATTTTTATAAAATTCATAAATATTTATTTTTTAATTTTTTAAAAGCATTATTAAAATTTTAAAATAATCTAAAAATAATTATTTTTTTATTATATCAAAAAAAATTATTATTATGTGATAATATTTTAAATCATTTAACATTAATTTGATAACTATCATCTTTAAATCACAAATTAAATCATATTTAAATTTTATATTATATATATTCTTGTGAATATATAATAATAAAATAAATAATAATTAGGTTGATTTCGATTTTTGATAAATTTAAAATAATCATTTAAATCCAACAGAAAACAATCTCATCCTATCCAAATTAAACAAGCATATTAACTTAGCATTTAAGTACCTAAGCCGACCTGTATGTACAAAAAACAAAAAATCATAGATTTTAATCAAACGATATAAATTTGTCCACTCTTAACTAGAACCGCAGAATTCAATCATATTAGTATAAAATGTACCTTTAGAGGTTGTCAAATTTTTTTTTTCAACTAAAAAGATAATTTGGTTTGATTGAAGTGATTCTTTATTGTTAAAAATATTTTATAAAAGAAAATTTAGGATAATACATTCCGTCTTTGATTTTGATTTGTTTACGTAAACTCTCGTTTATGTGTCTGATAAGAGAAATCATGTTTTGTATTAATAGAATTTGTGTGAATCTTATTTCACGCTTCAATTATCTCAGCCCGAAAGAAGGAGTACAAAAGTTAAGAAGGTTAAAAATAATATACATCAAGAACACATGAAATTATTCATTTCCACACGTAAGATCGAAAGATCTATAACAAGATAAAAAGAAAAAAGACAGAAAAAGAACCCATAACAAAATGGGTAGCTAGCTATAGCTTTATTCAAAACATACACACGTAGAAAAAGGTGATGGATTTATCATCTTTGTTTCATCAACAATGTGTAGTGCAAAAGCATCTTTGACGGAATCCACGGCAGTGTCCACCAGTGAAACGTTCTGTTTGGCACACAGAAGCACAGTTTGTATCACTCAAACATTTTCCTTTGAATTTGTTACTTTGAGATTCACAATCCCTTGCCTCAGCAACCATATTTGGCACTATCATAACATATCAAAAATCAATTAACAACACTTCTATAAAAAAATAAATCATACTATATATATAATTAAAATGTATCAAAATAAATAAATATTTATGTGATGTAAGTGTAAAGAAGAATTTACCAGTAACCACAAGAATGAGAAGGAAGACAAAGATGGTGGAAACCAAAGAAATTGAACGAGCCATGGAAATTTCTTGTGGAGAAGAGAACTAGTTAGAATTTGCAGTGAAGTGTAAATGGAAATGGCATGTCTTAAATAGGGTAATAAAGGTTAATAGTGTCTTTCCAAGGAATATTTTTACCGACATATATACTATATTTTTTAATGTAATGGGATAAAGTAAACATATCATTTTGAGGTACGGTCTAGGTTATTTCTTGTAAAATCATGGATATTTTATTTTTAACAACTTATTCTAATGGTTAGAAATTCATTAAAATTTATAGAGAATTTCTATCAACTTTGATGAATAATATTGTTATCACCACACAATGACAATAGAAAAAAAAAGAATTAAAGGAAAAGAGATTAGGATTTCTGGAGAGTAATTCTCTGCCCACAAACTGTGAAAAATCTTTATTCACTTTACAACAGTAAAATTCTGAGAATACAAGTTGTTATGAGTTGATTACAAAAATAAGGGTTACTCCATCTACTTATTGTTTTAAGGTTAGCTTGCTCTCTAAGCCAAAGTCCAAAAGCCCAAAATAGCTATTTTAGATCTAAGTCGAAATCGTGTGAGAAACAACCTCTTTCGATATTTTGACACCTATAACTCGACACACACTTTAACAGACTTCGACTGACTAAGCTAAGATATTTCGACACACTTGTGTTAGGGGTGTTCGCGATGCGGTTTGAGCGGTTTTGACGATAAAAATCACCTGAACAGCAAGAGAAAAACATGTGCGATTTAGTTTGGTTTTGTTGGCTTTTAGAAAAAAAATCGAATCAAACGAAACCAAACCAATGCAGTTCGATTGGTTCAGTTTTTTACAAATATTTTATTGAGTCATACATACACATATAGATGACAACATAACTTTGTATTTAGTCATTCATACACTATCAAATAACAACAAAACTCGTCATATTTTATTAACAACTTTCGGTTTAATATGTAAAAATTATATTAGATAAAAGTGGAATAATAAACATCAAATAATAGCATAAAACAATATCAAAAATATTATAATAAAACAAAAAAAGAGATGAGAGATTTCAAGGTGTGAAGAAAACGCAAGAAAGAAGAGTTTGAATTGGGTTTTCCTTTCTTGGCTAACTTTCGCTTCTAAGCATTATTCGATGAACAATGCTTCTGAGTGTTACTTCTAAGTAATGCTTCTAATTAAGTTAATAAAATATAAACTCTAAAGCATGAGCAAAAGTAAAGAACATGCGATATATCTTGGTTCACTTAAGAAACTTCCAAGCTAGTCCAGTCCACCCTTCCGAGGTGATTTCACCTTGAACTCAAGGACTCAATCCACTATAACCAATCTGATTACAATCGTATGGGAAATCACCGGTGACTAACATCCAATGAGGCATTCAGGGATCCAGACTGGATATAACGTTCATTGACCCAATATAATCCTATACCTCAAAATCTCCTACCAGGATTTCCTTCCAATGATATCCATCAGTGATCTAACAAGGTTGGCTTTCACTCAGTCCCCTTTGAGATATGACTATCATTTAACTAATAGAAACCACTACCAGGATTTCATAATGACCTTCATTCACTATCTTCTTGAGCACAGACCTTCACTCAGTCTCTCAAGGAACTAATCAACAACAATTAATGGGTTTCTTATGTTTACATGAATGCTTCTTCTAAGCCGACTACACAAGTGTTTTGAGCATATATTGTTTAACACTTCTACGAGCAACAACTCAAGTGTTAAAACAAATTAAATGAAGAGATATGAACATAAACACTATTCGAGCAACAACTCTAGTGTTCATTACACGATTATACAAAGATGAATATGATCTAAGTTCAAGTGTAGCATCTTGTAGTCTTCTTATCTTCATTTTCTTTATTCAACAAGCTATGAGCAACAACTTTTTGCTTCTTCATATTTCTGCTCAAAAGTATTTGACAAGAATTTGAGTATCATCTTGTTGAGTTCTTCTTTATCATCTTCTTTTTGTCTCCAGTATATTCAACATAATAGATGTTGTTGTTTGTTGTTATAGTGGTGGATGGCTTTTGGTTGTGTTCCAATAATGACAACCTTTTCTTTTCACATTGAACACCAAAAACTTTGCAACTGGCTATGAGCAACCAGCAACCACATACACATACAACAAGCAACATTTAAACATATGATTCTTTTCTTATATAGCCAAGCAAAATAGAGTCGTTGGCTATTTAAAAAAGAGTCGTTAGAAATAGTATTGCTACGTCCATATCTCTTCCACACTTCAAGTTAGTGGAGAGGTGGTGGCATAAAGCATTTTCGTACTATGTACTATTATACCATGTTAACGTTATATTATTTCCTTATATACTTCATAGGCCTCTGCGAGCATGAGGTTAGAAGTGGAATTATAGCATAAGGTCTTCAAAACTTCAAGTCTTCAGAGGCTTCAGAACTGCGTCTTCATAGTCTTTAGCACTTGGTCGTGAGAACTTATTGTAACAAACCTTGGATAAGAAGAGCTTCAAGTCTTTGGAATCTTCATACCTTCTGTCTTTAGAGTCTTTATCACTTGGTTCTTTAAGAATCCTTGTCTTTAGAACCTTGTTATTAGAAACACAAGTTCTTCAGCATCTGGATTTTAGTTACAAACATTAACTTCATATCTTTTAACTTTGTCTTCTTTGATACAAGTTGTCTTTTGGAAACTAGGTTTTGTAGCATCTGGACTTCCATAGAAACTTTATCTTCAGATCTTCTAACTTTGTTTCTTTCGAACACATTATCTTTTAGAAACGTGAGTCTTCAGCATTTGGACTTAAGTGACAACTTCTGTCTTCAGATCTTCTGATTATTTCCTTAGAACATGTTGTCTTTAGAATCTTGAGGCTTCAGCATCTAGATGTGAGTAGCAACTTCTGTCTTCAGATCTTCTGAATGTTTCCTTAGAACACATCGTCTTTAGAAGCTTAAGTCTTAATCATCTAGACGTAAGTAAAAACTTTTGTCTTCAGATCTTCTGACTAGTTTCTTTAGACACATATACACTTCAGAGCCTTCTGGAGTGTCTTTCTACTATTCATAGAACTTGTGTAGCACAGAAGCGAAACTAATTCTCTTCTAATGTCTTGGCCACACCATTCATCAGAAGCAGAACCTGTTTGTTAAGTACTCAACAATAACAATCATTAGTACAACAAAATTATCCATACACTCATACTCATTTGTTATCATCAAAACTCAGATAATATTGAATAACTAAATCTTGTTCTTGCAATCTCCCTCTTTTTAATGATGACAAAACTATGTATTTTGATGACACAATTTTGTTCATATAATTTGAAAAGGTGAAAATATAAAGGTAAGGAATACTTATCCTTTTTATGATACTCTCCCCGAGTTAATGACTTGATGAAGATTGAATATGCTGACTCTGAACCATTTGAGTTAAACTCCCCCTGATTCCAATAGATCAGATATCGAGATCTTGAGAGTCTTGACTCTTGATACCAATAGAACTAATTGAGATATTAAATTCATCAGAGCTTCTTCTTATTGAATCTTCTATCCAGATTTTCCAGATAGCCTTCAACTTTTGTTTCGCTCAGTTCTTCTAGAAAGCATATGCTTCTGCTTTTGATTCATATGTTCTTAATATCACATTCTAATATACATTTTACATCTTTTGAATCATTATGATATTGAAATCAAGATAACTTTAACTTTCAGAAAGTTCTCAACTTCTGAACAGTATTGAGTCTATTTGATTTTGGAACATGTGTTCATAAAGTGTACATCTTCGATTATATGAACAATCAGTTCTTTCATTTTGACCTGTCTTAGAATTCCTAGTGAACTTGTTCAGAGTTCCTCAGTTAATTATCAAACAAACAAACACACGTCAGTGGTAAATTCACATTTTATATCATATAATTATTATGATGCATTTTGTGATACGGTGGGAGAACTGACTTGGGATTTTGTGTTTGTGTTCGCAAATGTTGCGGTTTAGCAAGAGTCGTCACCGACTTTTCTTTTATCCAAAAAGGAAAGGTGAAAAAGCACAAGAAAGACCTTTAGAGATTGTTTCTTGAGTTCGGGGGGTAGATTATGAAAAGGGAAGGTGCTAGCACCCTTTTCATCCATAGTTTTTCATGGGCTCTTAGTTACTTGTTTTAGATCACTTGCCTTTTCAATTGTTTGAAATGGTGCTTTGTGTGTGGTTTTTGAAAATGCTTTGAAAAAGAAGCCTTGTCTAGGCAACCTTTGTAATAATTCTTGTTTGAATATATACAAATGTGTGTGTCTTTTTGAAAAGATATTTCAATGTTTTGAAAGTTGTTTTGAAATTGTTTTGAAGTTGTGTTGTGAAGTGTGTTTGAAAATGGCAAGGATGTTTTGCAAGATTTTTGATCAAGTAACTAAGAGTTGTCTACCCTATTTTACTCAAAGATCTTTCTTATGTTTTTAACCCTTTTAACAGTGTTGCTTCACCATTGTATTTGGTGAACAACCTTGTGTTAGGATGTTAAACGGGACAGGCGCGGGTCATCGTATAGACCATGATAGCAATGGTGTCAAGTATTTTTGGCAATTTTCTTGAGGGACTTGATCATTTTGTTTAGGCAACTCAGATAGCGTCATTGAGGGACTATGATCTTTTGTTTTGTTTTTGTTTTGCAAAAGTACTTGACATGCATATCATAGCCCATTTTTGAAGGCAACAAGTGGATTGAAACCCTAGGGGTGCAAGTGTGCATGTGTATTATTTTCATGCTTTGTTTTTTATTAGTGATTGTCTACTTGTTGATTTTATCTTGCCATACATATCCTATTTACTAGCAAGCATATAAAAGTAATAAAGCGCAGAAAGATAAAATCCTACACTATTACAACCATATTGAATTGCATGAAAATATAAAGGCAAAAATAAAATAAAAGCAAGAAAAATGAGGGTCTTTCGATTGAGGCAGAAAACCCTTCGATTCTGCACTTTCTGGCTCTCTTCAATTTGGCTTGAAAAGGGTGAAGGCATGAC